ACAATTTCATGTTCACACATGCAAGCACAGACCTGAACATTAGTACCAAAAGCCGATACAGACAATATCCCCATACACACAGACGCACACACACACACACACACACACACACACACACACACACACACACACACAATGTCCCATGTATGCGCCCGTGGCGAGAAAAGCACGCAAATCTACAAATGCACTGGATGTGAACCCACAGATTTTCTCTTATAGCATCGATAGCGGATCTGATTCTGAATGAAACACACACACAATACAATCATTGAATGCCCATCCGCAGATGATGGCAGGTCCTGAAAGAACAGGCAGTGTTCCAGTGATGGGGAACAGAACTTCGAGTGGCGAGTGAGGTATACACACACACACACACGTGCGTGCGCGGGCACACACTAAAGTATTCAGAAATAGAATCGACATCGTATTCATTGGTTGGGGAATGGAAAGGAAAATAAAACATTGCTGTAGGTTATTGTTGTAAGGACACTGGGAGCACAACAGAAAGGTAAGCAACTTGCTTTGAAGCAAAGAAAGTTATTATTCCACGGATCTCAGAAGGAAGGAACGTTCCAGAATGCTGCACTGGCAACAGGCGGCCTGCATGTGCGCGGCCCCTGCAGTCGGTCCAGCTGCCGGCCTTGCAGTGCTGAAAAGAATGTGCAGTACAGCATGTCACATAGTATCGCAGCCTGGACAAATAGGCGCTGGGAAATCCTAGTTATGTGCTCACCTACACCACGATGCACCAATCTTCTGAGCTACTTTGGCAACAACTTTGTCCACTTGAGACTCCCATGGGCTGAGCCAGTTGTTGAGGGCTGCACCAAGGTGGACGGCAATGACCGCTGATGGCAAGGCAATCCATGACACACAGTCACTAGGGCATCGTCAACATGGCGCTGAGGCTGGATCGATAAAATCAACCTTTAGGCTGCCGCGGGGTTGACAACGAGGCCGCTGTCTCGAAGCTAGTCAGTCAGCCTGGTCACCGCCATTGACGAACCAGTCGCCACCGCCAGCAGTGGCGGTAGGTTGTGACACGTGTGGTGCAATATTGTCAGCAAATTCAGTACTCAGGATAAAATGAGTGACAAAGGGAACGTTGTGTTTGATAATATTGAAGTGAACAGGGATGATCACAAACCCTGCGCGTACTCCACCGTGAGTTACAAGAAAATTCCGGACTGGACGACGAGCAAACACCAACCTGCTACATCCAACCAGACAGATACTATCACGATAGCTGCCAAACCAGGTCAATACTGACCTACTGCATAATGTCAATGTCAAACAGATCCTGCAGGAGAAGACTGGGGTGTTGGCGTCCAGTCACTGAGTGTACAGACACCAGTCACATTTCCTGCGTCTTTTGCAGCATACAGGATACACTCATCACTGTAAAGTCCACTACTTCGTGATTTTTATTTGTAGAATACATGACAGGCGTATTCAGTGTGCCTCGCAGGACTGCGAGATGCTGCAGAAGACCAGGTTCGACCTTTCTGGACCGCCATTCACCGACGGTGGGCTACATGATGCTGGAGGAACTAGATTCCAGTGAAAACCCAAGATTCCTTTGCTCCTGGACGCTCCAACGTGTTGTGATATCTGCCAGGTGCGCAGTAACTAGTATTTTCATCGCTATAGCGAGGACGACGCCGATCGGCAAACTCTCGCTCACAGCCATCACCAGCCTCTCAAAACCATCACTTGGCATCCCCCAGAGGTATAGGAGAAAGCCAAAACAGCTCTCAACAAACAAAAGCTAAGGACGATGGAAAGAGAGCATGTCAAAAAGAAGACGAGCAGTATGAAGTTCAAATGGTTTTGAACAGGGAGTCGTAAAAGCCCGGGAGAGGACACGGCACACATTCCCAGAAAACATCTTTGCCTCGCGCTGCCGGGGAACGCTGCCAGGGAACGGTGTTGCGAGGCAAGGAAATAATATTAATTATTATTTTCGAAAATTGTGATGTCTTCTTGAAATACTAATTGGGACATTCTCCGATTTCTCTTAGAGCACGGAGACGATTGCTCCGTCGAGTCTTCTGATCTCTATTTTCATCCTCAATTCTTCCAGCTGCCTCGCTCATTCTCTCTCAGTTTATCGAAGTTAATTTATTCTGAGGCGCTGGAAATGCAAGATAAATCCCTAATTGTACTTCAATTTTATTTGAGTTGGGGTGAACGAAATGAGATTTGTTGAAAATGACGCCACTTCCCGTGTTAGCCGCTGGTCGTATCATACAGCCCATATTCCATTGCAGGTGATGGGCGAACGTTCGTGTTGAGATCCGCTGAGCTTCCTCGTACTCGTGGAGTTGAATTTGTGGCAGAAATTGCACTGAATTGCAGTCAAATGGTCGTGAATGAAACGAGATTTGTGGAAAATGACGCCACTTCCCGTGTTAGCCGCTGGTCGTATCATACAGCCCATATTCCATTGCAGTTGATGGGCGAAAGTTCTTGTGGAGATCCGCTGAGCTTCCTCGTACTCGTGGAGTTGAATTTGTGGCAGAAATTGCACTGAAATTGCAGCCAAATGGTTGTGAATGAAACGAGATTTGTGGGAAATGAAGCCACTTCCCATGTATTAAAGCCGCTGGTCGTATCATACAGCCCATATTCCATTGCAGGTGATGGGCGAAAGTTCTTGTGGAGATCCGCTGAGCTTCCTCGTACTCGTGGAGTTATGAATTTGTGTCAGAAATTGCACTTAAATTGCAGTCGAGTGGACTTCTGTGCGTGTGTTGGGAGTGAATCGCAACGGCTCCCTTCCTTCAGCATCGTCAAAACGTAACATAGAGCATTATTACGTACTCGTTCCATGATTCATGATATTGCCTGGATTCTTTTAAAAACAATCAATGTGTGTTCCCTATCTATCTACATTGTACATGGTTGCAGGTCGTTATTTATAAATCTTGATAATTTCAACACTTTTCTACTCGTATACTGAGTACGCGGTGACTTTAGCCGTTTAGGAAACGGAAGGCTCAGCCTCCAGGTTGGCCAGAAAGGTTCTCAGTGAATCTAACCGAAGTCTTGGCGAGTGTACAAAAGGTAAACCTATCATTTGTACTTCATAACGGAATTGTGCACAAAAATGCGCACACACGCACGCACGCGCGCACACACACACACGCACACAAACACTGTAGATCTACAAACACACACAAAAGTACAAGCACATGTGCACATACACACGCCTCCCCCCCCCCCCCCCCCCACACACACACACTCAACTCCCCACCCCCTGTACCTTGTGTACTGAGTCTGACAGACAGACACACAATCATGTTTATGGCATGCTTCCTTCGCCACCAGTTTCGGATAATGGTGTCAACAACGAGTTGTAAGATATTGGTATTTTAGGACTCCCTGCCCTGATGGCGAGCACAGCGCCGTGGATCGAGCAGATCCGGCCGCGCCGGCCTAGCGTGCTTCACTTTCTGACCGAGGCAAACATCGTCCGCGTGCGCGCATCCCGTGTCCTCTCCCGGGCTTTTACGACTCCCTGGTTTTGAACACTCGTACCACCAACTATACCACTTTCAATAAATCGTGACGCCATTTTGTTTTAACATGAATATCGCGGATTACAGGCAAGGTTTGCTAGAGCTCTACTGTAAAAGAAAAAAATTGCATTTGATTACACTTCTTCCAAATCTGTCTTAAATTCTAAATGCTCCCTAGAGTCACTAGCCTATCGTCGTCAAATCATCAGTCTCACTACTTTTCACAGATATGTTTTCCATCATCGTGATTACCTTGCTGATTTCCATTTCAAGATTACGAATAGTGAGCGACGACCAAATAAAATCATTCTTCCCAAATTTAAATCATTGTCTAAGTCTCTCTTCATGTTCCGAACTGCTATTCTATGGAACTGTTTACCCCCCCAGTCTAACATCGGAAGCCTCGCTCTATAAGTTCAAAGCTGCCCTCAGGAAATTTACAGCTGACTATGCTTATGCAATCAACGGAATTCCGCCACCTTGCAGTTGATTTTCCCCATTTCTCTCCTCATCAATCCCTACTTCTCTTTGTACATACATCTACATCTACTGTTCTTTCAATCAAATGAACCCCTCGATAGGCACATTGCCTTTGGGTCATTTCATAATAATAATAATAATAATAATAATAATAATAATAATAATAAAGTTATGACCCGGAGAATTATGGAATTTGAGGCGAGTCGAAGATCAAATTCAGTCTGCGTACATTTTTTTCAGTACATAAAGGGTTAAGATCTTGATAGGCACCCCACGTAACTGTGTCGTTGCAGTGTCTGTTCACTGCGGATTCTACTAATGGTACAAGGCGCGGTACCCTGCACCGAGTTGGCGCTCAAACAATGTAGTCCAGACCACAAAGATGCAAACTACGTTGCTCTGTTTACCGATTACACGCAATGTCCATCACGTCACCACATACTGAGTAGCGTTGGACGAATCGAGAAAGAGGTGTTATAGGGTACAAGTGAAGGGGTAACAATAATAACGAAGTAACTTGGTTAGACTGTGAAGAGTGCGAACTTGTCATAGCAATGGCTACCTTGCTCTTGAGTCGTATTGCGTCAACATGCTGACCACGGATGAAAGTTAGACAAAGGGGAATGTCTTTTGCAGTTTCATCACTGGCCTACTCCTTTTCAAGCTGGCATACCATCACAAACCTGATCGGGGCAATTTTGCCGAAACGAGCGGGTCTGCTCTAAGCTACTTCCTATGAATGAATCTGCAGTAAGTCTACCCACTGCTACTAAAAATATACCGAACTCAGAACGGCTCGTTGTACAATGTGCGATCTCTACTGCTATACATTACTGCCGGCGACAGCGAAAGACAAAGGCGTAAAGTAATGCCTGTTGAATGACGTCACGAACACCGTGGACTCAAGCCGGCACTAGCGCATACTTGCTTCATAGGTAGATTCCTCGCAACAATATAACCCTCTGACTAGCAGAAACGGCACCATTCGTCGAGTCAAAGGCCACGAGTACGCTTCACAACGGGTCATCTCCTATTCTTCTTTACGTTGCGAGACTCCAGCAGTCACTCTCCTGTAATAGTGTGGATCAGGACTATCCTGTCGTTCCGTGGATTCTATCCGTATCTCCCGGACCAGAACTTGCTGCTGTTCTCTGGACAAGCCAGTCACCTCACTAGTTTTGGCTACCATTGTGGTCGAAAAAGTACAGCCAATTTGCAGAGACTCGGTTGGCTGTTTGACACTGCCCTAGTTGTCACGTTCGGAATGTCTTCCTCAAGGAACACGTCAGAAGCAGAAGGCCACCAAGGGATGACGGGAGCTCAACTACCCAGATACACGATGCAGTATTTTCCGCCGTTGGACTCACAACGTCAAAAGATGCCTACTGTACAGGGTAAGGACGAAAGTCGAACATTTTGCAACCTAGTGTACATAATGTCTTGGGATTTTGCACCTGTATGCTCTGTACATAATGTCTTGGGATTTTATGTGCTTCCAGTATCGGATAAAAACTTGAGAATATTATCCTGCTAGACATGGTTTCTGCCCCGTTATATTATTTGCTTTGTAAATTGTCTAGTTTCTGCTCTCTAGCGTGGATGGGACTTCATGTGTGTGTGTGTGTGTGTGTGTGTGTGTGTGTGTGTGTGTGTGTGTGTGTGTGTGTGTGTGTGTGTGTGTGTGTGTGTGTGTGTGTGTGTGTGTGTGTGTGTGTGTGTGAAACGAGCTGTGAATCACGGCATGGAATTGTCTAAGTCAGTCAGTAGAAGCTGTGGAACACAGTCACTACATCTAATCCCCGTCTGGCCAAGACAGTGTAAATGTTTATCAAGCCTGTTAGAATGGACTGGGATGGAGAGCCCAATAGGATTGTATAAGGATTTAGTGAGCAATTCACCTCCCTCCCCTCACCTTCCCCTCCTATGTTGTCATTATAACTTAGGACCTTCCAATTATTTGGAAGGCTGTTGGACTGCGCATCCGAGGCTTGCTAGAGCTGATAGCCAGTTAGTTGTAGAACGTCAGTACCGTCGGTCAGTGTCATGCAAAGTTATGGCATGAGCTGATTGTTCAGTGACTGGTGGTGTTAGTGGACATTATAGCATAACTTGTAGCTCCTTGGTAATTTTTCCTTTCTAGAAAATTAAAAAAAATTGTCAGTGAATTTTCTGTGTGTTCATTGCTGTGTATAACCAATCGAAAATGAAGATCTAATTTTCCTCGCAGTATGACTTTGAATTTGGAATTCAACTTATGTATACAGTCGTGCAGTAAGTTTTACTATAGGGTGGAAAGGTGGTAAATTATAGTTTTATACGATGAGAAGTTAGTTTGTCACTCATGGTAGGAATCTTTGATGGAGCGACTGGGCTGGACAACGATAATTATGCATAGTGATAAGTCCCTATCCACCCTGCACTTTGATCTGATGTAGCAGTTAGCGGAATGTACATGTACATGTACATACTAGGGTGTCAGACCTCAGCAGCTTCGCATGGCCAGTTACTTTATCGGACCTTGACAGCCTAGCACGGCCAACCACTCTACTAGACCTCAGCAACCTGCCATGGATCAGGCTCTTGCACAACCTGCCAGTGGTCGGGAGAGCTAGAGAAGGAGAGCTCTTATTTCAAGCAGTTTTTTTTATATTGAACATGTCCTCGTTATCACAAGTCAGCGAATCTCCTTTTCCTCACGCAGTTAGAATGTCATTTCCTAATTGCAGATCCGGCAATGTGTAGAAAGTAAGCGCACAACACTGACAGTAAAGGTCAAGCAAAAAACAGTAGCAACGAATCAGCTAACTACCCACAGAGACAGTCAGAATGCTCGGGCGAAATGAGTGCATTTTAGCCGCTGGGTTTACTCACTGTCGCTTATCCTTTCTTGACCCAAAATGCAGTAGTCAACGAGCCGCTTGAAACGAAAAGTAAACAGTACTTATTGCGTGGGAATTTGCGAAGAACTAGTATGATTGCGTGGCAATCGTGAAACTTTGGATCTACTGGTGCCCACAAGCAAATCATCGCCAATGGTATATTAACTGTGCTGGTATTGCTGGTTGAATGCACTAACTCCGGGATACTGACAAGTGCGGTGCGACCTTTGTAGACCGTTTCACTGGGTTTTGCAACCAATCAAGGCAAAGTCTTCTACTTCGAACTGAGGTTGAGGAAAGGCGGCACTCAGGGGACATTGCACTGAAACGTTAGGGAGTTGATAGCTGAGCAGAGGATGGCAAATGTACGTTTCTGTGTCACACAGCTGAGCCAATCACGTACTTCTTTGGAGGTAGTCAGGAAGCTGTGTACTAGTACTTGGCAGATTCAGTGCTGTGGAGTGGTTCGGAGGATGGTTTCTAGAAGTCAAGACGGGAAGCTCGCTGTATGACTTTCATTCCTTCCACAGTGAAGCAGGATCCAGGAGAGAAGCCCCAGCAGAGAGTACGATGAGTGCATCACAGTTTCTAAACTGTAGGTCGCCAAGCGGCAGGGAGAACGGAGGAACATGTTGTGCGGCTGCAGAGAGAGGTCGCTAAGGGTTCGGAAGGTTTACACCTGCTCTGGGTCTCCTGCATGAAATCAGAAACTGCAAAGGACCGTTCTTACTATCTGGGGAATCTCTGCCGCAAGCTGTGTGATAAATGATGTTCTCTTCGTGTTGAAAAATGATGTTCTCTTCGTGTTGAAATCCGGAACTACAATCATGTACATGTAATGAGTGGTCAGGGGGGGGGGGGGGGATATTGATACTGCAAAACATGTGTAGAGTGTAAAAAGAAGCCATCATGTACAGCTGCAAGTCGTTCATGTTTTGTTCACTATCAAGTTAGTCAGTATCAAGGTGTTCAAGTCCAATAGTAGGCAATACATTGTACTGGTACTAGTACTAGTACTAGCTCATGACTGGGTGTAGACCACACTTGATCGAAAGAAGTGTTCAGGTTCAAGCTTGTGCCTGTTTCTAGTATTGGGAGCCAAGGGCTTGGAAGGAACCTACTTGCTACTCCAGCGTGATGTCATGCTATTCTCTATAAGTAGATAGTAATGCTTGAAAAGTTGTAGTACGTCACTACGTGTACTGTACTGTAGGCTAGTATAGGTGTGTAGCACTAGCCATCATCATCATCATCATCATCAAAATCATCAAAATCAAAATATTTGCCGGGTTGGAAGGTGGGATCAAAAAAAAAAAATCATCATCATCATCATCATCATCATCATCATCATCATCATCATCATGTGACCAAGCCGCTTTCACGGGCAACACTATTATGAATATAAAACGCAAGGTATTGTAAGAGCAATTTTCTGAAAATAATGTTAAAACACGAAATATAAAAATGCATTATCACACCGTAGCCACTTTTATGGGCAAATTCCAATACAAGGCAATAAGAAAACGAGGATGAAGTTAACCTTTTAACCCAAAGAAAAGACAAAAGATGTCAACAATAGAACTACAAATATAAAAAACAAACAATAGGTCATAAAAACTACTACATCATCATCATCATCATCATCATCATCATCATGAGAAAAGCCTCTTTTACGGGCAAAGCAAATGTATATCATTACAATATGTAAAGTGAACAGGGGAAATCAACACAAAACCAACCGGAAAATGATGAAACACAAAAGCAGTCAAGGAAGTAAATCAATACAAAAACAAGCAATGAACACAGAGTAATAAAAGGGGAAAAACCAAATAGCATTATATTAAGTTGAGGCCAAAGGCAGCACCCTACTCCGCCTGGCGGCACTGGGCCAGAAATGAGTTCGGCTGTCGCCTCTTGCCGTACGAACCGCGGCAACCGCGGAAGCAGGTGACTGCCCATCGCAGCAAGCAGAAAGACAAACGGGTGCGTAGTATGCCCATTACTAGTGGGTACTTCAGCATCATCATCATCATCATCATCATCATCATGATGATGATGATGATGATGAATACTTACCAAGACCCTGCATCCCTCTTTGTGCGTGGTGGCCAGTCTTTATTGTCACAGGAGGGCACAACCCAGGGTGACCCTCTTGCGATGGCCATTTATGCCACGGCTCTCACCCCTCTCGTCAAGTCAGTCGGAACCAATGTTGCAGATGTGTGCCAGGGATGGTTTGCAGATGACTCGGCAGCTGCCGGAGGGCTCTCCCCATTGCGAAAGTGGTACAACCTCCTTAAGGAAGAGGGCCAAAAATACGGCTACAACATCAACGAAACAAAAACGCAACTACTCGTCAAGCCTGGCTTTGAGTCCTTGGCTGCCGAGACTTTTGGTGACACAACTATTGTAACAGTTTTCCCCTGTTCTCTTTAAATTTACACTCCCTCGCACCTCGTGCGTCTTACGCCTGTCTATTAGCACCTTCATTGGCGCCATTGCCACATGTATACTATCACATTTTGCATATAACTGGTCGAGGCACGCTCAACCAGGCCTCTTACTTTTCAAGTTTGATTAAACCTGTTACACTGGTAGCAGAGGATGGTTACTACTCTGCTTTTGGCAGGTGTTCTGGTCGCTCTGCTTACGCTCCTCGTACTCGTCGTTCGGCTGATAAACGATATCAAGACCGCTCAGCGCGTTAGCCAAGGACACCGAACGATACATCCGAACTCGGAACCGTGGGAGCCAACACCCCGCCTTACGAAAGAGCCGCCTGTGTTTGGAGGAGATTCCGCTACATTCAAAGAATGGACGTTTGCAATGGACATGGCCCTACGGTCGTTGGCACTCCCAAATGCGGCACAGAGGGTCGACTACGCGGCAGGATTTTTGACTGGAAACGCTCGTCTTTGGTTGATAGCGGCATTGGAAGCTAACCAAGTGTTTTCCGACTGGCCTGCTCTGAAAGCGGCACTTGGCGATGTGTACGGACCACGGCACAACGAGGAAACATCGCGTATGGGACTAATTTCCGCAGCGCAGCGCGGGTCGCTGGACGCATACATTGCTGCTTTCACTCGCCTCAGCCTGCAAGTGCCGGAAATCGACCACCACACCAGAGCGCTGCTGTTCGTCAGGGGTCTAGTGCCGCACATCCAGCGACAGGTCATGCGTGAGCATCCACGTACCCTGGAGCAAGCTGTCATGGCAGCAAACACCGTGGAGCAGTCGTCAGGGCCACCGGCGTCGGGGCCACCAGCCAGTAGAGAGTCGCGTTCCGTGCCCAGCTTCCGTGGTCAGGGCCTCCGCAAGCTGACGGACCAAGAGCGTGTCCAACTGCGAGCAATGGGACACTGCTTTGCTTGCAGGAAGCCAGGCCACCTCGCTAAAGACTGTACTGAGGGTGGACAGCGCTACCCAAACGCTGGTCGCCAGTAAGAAAGGGGGTGCGCTTACTGGCGACGACCCAAGCGCCCACGCCGGTACCAGTCGCTAACCGGTTCGGAGCT